TTAATTATCCACATCTCAATATTTGCAGCTGATTTTAAGAATTTGTTCAAGCGAGTCTATAATTTATGGACGAACTAATCAGGTATAAGATAACAAGTCTTAGATTTGGGTGGGAAATTCACTCATTCATTTGGCTAAATAGAGTCTTGGCATTATATCTGGTGTCAGTTCGTGATGAAAACCCTAAATCTAATTTCTAACCTTAACCATCAACCGTAAATCATAATTCGAATTCCTCACGCTAATTTATAACCCTCACTTGATTCTAGTTATCAGGTGGATACTCTCAAGGTCAGCCTAGCGTCGCCCAAAGGTCTTCCATAAATTATAGTTTTACCATTGTTCATATCTAAGTTCCTGTTACCAATTAACATAAAATGTGTTCATGTAAAACACATATAAGATATAAGAGAAAATGATTGAAATCACTTCATTTATGTTTCATAGGGTTTGTGAATATGTTTCCTGTGTTAATACACAAATCGTTAACAAACATACCTCAGTTTGCTTTTTATTCAACTATTAGCTTATCAACTACAGTCCAGCATCAATGTTGTTTGTTTGCTTTACACTCATCTCACTCCAGTGTATCTAAATCATTCATACTGGCGACATAATTGACATAATCCTAGTGTTATAAAATTAACTTATCTTTTTCAGGTAATGACTATCTTAGATGAATTACAATTTATTTCTATTGATAACCATAAAGATTTAAGTTAATATCGGTTTCTATCACAAAGTTATAGCAATTGAAATAACAGTTAAAAACAATGGGAGTACTGGACAACTGTTCTGCTTTATTTTGAAACTCCTTAAAATTGCCTACTCAAAACTATGCCAGAGATTAGAAACAAGACATAAAGATCTTACGGAAGGTGTGTTGCTGTAGGCCACTGACCTGAAATCCAATGATTTAGAGTGTTTAAATTACTGAAAAACTGAAGTTAGTAATTTACTGACAATATTTTATGGTTTGTAAACTGTATTTCATGAAATTATCAACCATTCTATATGGTAAAACCCTTTCCTACTTGTAATTATCTACCAATTACATTCCACCCACAAAAAAGCATGATTTTATTATTGTTATTATTATTATTATCATTGACATTGTGAGTAGTAGTAGTAATAGTATTAGTATTTCGGTATTATTATGAGCAACATACATAAAGAGAAAAGCAAGATTCTGCGATACAACACAACATGCAACAATCAAATCACACTTCACGGAGAAGATTTGGAAGATGTAAAAACCTTTACATATTTGGGTAGCATCATTGATGAACATGGTGGATCTGGTGCAGATATGAAGGCGCGAATCTGCAAAGCATGAGCACCATGTCTACAATTGAAGAACATCTGAAACTCAAAACAATTGGTAACCAACACTAAAGTCACAATTTTCAATACAAATGTCAACACAGTTCTACTATATGGCGTGGAAACTCGGAGAACAACAAAAGCCATCATCCAGAAGATACACATGTTTATTAACAGTTGTCTACGCAAAATACTTCGGATTCGTTGGACAGACTCTACTAACAACAACAACCTACTATGAAATAGAACATACGAGAATCCAGAGGAGGAAGAAATCAGGAAGAAGTGTTGGAAGTGGATAGGATACACATTGAGGAAAGCACCCAATGTGTCACAAGGCAAGCCCTCACATGGAATCCTCAAGCTCAAAGGAGGAGAGGAAGACCAAAGAACACACTACTCCGAGATAGACGTGAGAAGACTGAACAACAATTGGATAGAACTATAAAGGAAGGTCCAGAACAGAGTGGGTTGGAGAGTGCTGGTCAGCTGCCAATGCTCGATTGGGAGTAACAGGCGTAAGTAAGTAAGTATTGTAATGAGATGATTTTCTTCTTAGAATGACATATCTTTACATATTTGACCGAAGAAAAGTGCTCACTGATGCATAATAATCATATATTTCAATAACTCTTAGACCAGTAATTGTGTTTTTATTATTTATGATCACATCAGCAAAGATTATCATAAGAAATAAGGAAAACTTACAGTCGTTTTAATGGCGGAACACGAAGTACCACATATTTAAGCTTGGGAATAGATTGCGCGATTCATTTACTCACTGGTACCAGAGCCATTACTGGCAGTTTATATACACTAAATCCAGTTAGGTTGGTCGACAGTCTAATAGCTAAATTATGCAACTCAACATAGATACATACATTTTCCACTTCTAGTTGGTTATAGTTAGGCGATTGGCAAGTTTCAATCAGATTTTACTATTAACATTTAATCGGTTTGATTTTAGAAGTTCTAATTCTGATGGTATGTATCTGAATTAAACCAAAATAAATGTATTTGTCAACATACTCAGTTGTGTAGCGTTACTTTGTAAAGTGTACAAGAGTAACCTCATGGATTTCTTAATGTCTTAACTAGTAATGAATGTAAGGAGAATAAGTTAATATGAGTAATTCATTGTTTCTATTAACGAAATTTATTTATCTTTGATAGTGATGAAGTAAAGAACGAAATTAAATAAGTCAAATACGATAATGAAGTTTTGAATACGTATATTTTGTACAATCGTTATTCAAAATAGACAATCAAAGAATCGCATCGAAATAAACGAAACGAAATGACACTCAGTAAAATGGGCATGTGAATCAACTCCTTTTAATTAAGCGTTACTCAATAGTTATAGTCGAATCGATTCGAAGTAAAACAAGGCAAAAGAAAGGCTAAACAAGGCGAATCAAATAATTAACAAAATTAAAAATGTAGTTTAAGAGGAATTGAATAGATTGGTTTGTCCAGAAACTAGAATAACCTATGTGGGTTCGACATAGGTGCTTTATCACTAAAGTATGTGCTGCAATGTTATTGTCATACTAACTAGGCATTCAAACAGTTGGAAGTATACATGTACTTAGAAGTCAGTAAGCAATAATCTAAATTATATCGAAATTTCATGACATTCTTCTCACTCCTTATATCTTTCGAAGTATCTCTCATGATAAAATATCTTGTTTTATTATCTATCTACATGGTTATTATATTGAATTCTAATAACAGTTAACCGAATTTAAACTAAAAATAACATAAAAGAAAGGAATAAATATATATTTAAGGTACTACTAATTAATTTAAGGAGTGACATTTACAGAAAGATTCCAAACTACGTCATTGGTTACCTTACATATGGATCAATAACTTATAGATCACAACAATTATGTACACATAGATAAAACTAATTATGAAAGAGGAAAAAAAAAATAAACAACTCGAGCCAATAGACAATAAACACAATGGGGAAAAAACAGTTGTGAAATTAGACCAAGATATGTAAAAAGAAAATATATATCAGTTGACATGTTAGTAACAAATTCTTGAATCACATTTTTAGAAATTATTGTTCTAATTTCTAGTGTTTAGTACTATGGTATTAAATGGATGTTTATAGAACTAGTTGAGAAAATTGGGATTTTGTTATGTGGATAATGAATATCCTATGAATTATTGATATTTATTATTTAAACAATACGAAGACATTTCAATGTAGAGATTTTTGTTCTGGTAATATTAATTTACTAGAACTGGACAATTGTATCTAGGGTTACTTTTTTTTAACATATGTTGTCCAACTTTCGTTCAATGAGTTCCGCTGAGCCCAAGCACCTCCAGGTTGTATTTCTTCATTTCTGCAGCAATTCGGAAGACTCTCCCGGTCTTCCACATTGTAAGAGTATTACATGTACCTAAATAAATGGTTGCTCTTGTTGTCAGAAGGGGCATCGGCCTCGTGACTTCAACAGGAACTCGGCTTTCATCATGAGGCGTCATAAATCTTCTAAATCAAGACCTTCTGACTCCCAGGGCAGAGTTTCAAAGGTTTGAGTAATTTTTTTCTGGTTAGCGCTTTTTTAGCGAGTTAGTTTTCTCAACCCTCCTCCTTCCTCCGGACTTGGGACTGGCCGTAGCCCCCGGAGGGACTCAAGGTGGGAGCGGCTTTTATTGATTCTTTTTTACATATAGTGATCCATAAATAAGGAATATAATTATTACGTCATTTACAGGAGTACTTAAAGTAGAAATTTAAAGTTATGTAACAATTGAGGGGTAGTAAGAAACAAGGTTTTAAAGATTATCTATTTAAGAATTATAAGAAAGATATAATTTCACTGATTGAAATCATGAGTCAATTGAAGCTAGGCCACCATGGAAAACCTACAAGTACTGGAAGGCCGTTCCGACCTAGTATGGGACTCCTCAACAGTGTGCATCCACGATCTCGCCCCCCGCAAGATTCGAACCCAGGACCTGTCAATCTCACGCCAGGCGCTCAACCAACTAGACCAGTGAGCCGGTATCCAATGGTGTTAATGTCAAACTTCAACCAACCCATGAAGTTGATCGACACATCCACCATTGTCTTCAGTGAGTTGATATCTCACAACAGACCTGGTTGAACTCCACTGGTCACTACATTTCACTAGAACTCCAGGAGTATCTCTTGACGTAAATCACTAGTGAGCAGATGTCCAGTCTGATAAAATACACATTAGTGAACTCAACAATGAATTCAAGAGATGTATAACAATAAAATGAAGTATTTACCTATGAGTTTTACATATTCCATTCGAAACTTTTTTGTATTCTATTTATCACAATAAAGAAATATGAATACTTTTGAAGGTAGTAGTTTACCTGAATTTTATAAAGGATCTAAATTGAAAAATATTTGATCTAGACTAATTCAACTGATCTAGTTTTAGTGATATTTGGTACCTTCTGTTAAGATCCATAGAATTCAGTTTTCTTCGTCCCAGATATATAACATCAATCAATGTAAACTACGACATTTAGTTACTTACATAAGCTAATAAACTACAATTAATTAGACAGAATTAAATTGGACTTTGGGATCAGGTAGCATAATAATGATTACGTAATTAAATAATAATATGTTGACCAATTTCAATTATTAAGGTAAAATGAATAAAATTGTTACTTCTTACTTGAGCTCCTTCTCTTGTTGTTGAATTAAGTGTAGTATCTGATGGAAAACGTTTCTGTGTTGCATTTCCATTATGAAGAGTTTGAATTTTACGAAAGCTTGGACCTAATGAAATTGTATAAAAATAAGAATAACTCTGTATTTTTCGCTTGTTATGAATATACTTTAGCTATAACAATTTATAAAACACACATAAATGAATAGAAGTTGTAAGTAAAGATTTAATTAGAACAACATATGTAAGCGAATAATTGTTTTCAATTAGATCGTCATCAGGCTTTACTCTAATATCCATGAATATTTATACGAAAATGTTAAACCAATCAAGGTAATTTGGGTCAATAATCACAATGAAATAGAATAAGTCACCACACATAATAGGTAAAAGTACAAGTTGATAGTAGGAAGACAGGTGTACTGATAGTAGTAAGAATAATAAAATACGATAATAAAAGTCTTATCAGAAGCGGTTTTGTGGAGATTGTAGTAATTTCAATAGTTGAGATCATTAGTCATCTGAAGCTAAACCGCCATGGAAAACCTGCAAGCTCTGGAAGGCCGTTTAGTCATATTGTGGGACTCCCCAGCAGTGAATATCCACGACCCCGCCCCCTGCGTGACTCGAACCCGAGACCTATCAGTCTCGCGTGCGAGCGCTTAAGCACTAGACCAATCGGCCGGTATCCAACGGTGTTAATCTTTAACTTCAACTAATTCACGAAATTGAGCGACACATCATGGATGCGCACTGCTGAGTAGTCCTACGATAGGACGAAACGGCCGTTTTTCATGTTGGTCTAGCTTCGATTGACTCATGATCTAAAATATTAAGAAGTCTCATCAATAGTTAAACATTGGAAATAGAAGGTCAAACGTGGGTAGATAGACTTAGAATAGTCATCACTAAAAATTAAATCCACTACGTAGTAAGAAGTGAGTAAATAATTAGATAGTGAAGAGTACAAATGGAAATTTTTTTTTCTGTATAAAAGAGATACATAAAAATGATTGAATACTTTGAAGCAATGGGTAATTAATAAATTAGTTAAGTTAAATGAAAGGAAACCTAAGTATAAGTCGTCTTGGAGATTGTTATTAACCAACTGACATAATAACATACACCGATCAGCATTAATTGACAAACTATTCCTACATCAGGAAAGTATTGCCTACTTTATCATTTAAAAAAGCTGGTTCATAATCCCAAGGTTTATTGTTTGAAGTTTGAATCATTTAAAATATTAGATATAAGCATGAACAAACATATTAATCGTAAATGTACCGTTGTGTGTGCTACTGATATCGATAGATATAAGTAGTATGTATCATCAGTTGAAAATGAAATGTCTGGCGGTAGAAGGTTAAGAAGGTCGAAGAAAAGAGAAAGAGAACAGAGAATGATTGGTGTGGAGACGAAAGAACAATCGAGTCTGAGACAGTTGATTGACATCTCACAAATGAATTCTTTACAGTATGGTTCTCAGATTTTACTAATAGATTCTGTAGTTTTGTGTTTAATTACATTTAATTGTCCCTGCCTGTGTTCTCGTTCACTATAGTACCGTCTTTTAGGTTCTTGAAAAAATATATTGGGAAATGGGATACTAAAATAAAACTTTAACCAAAATCATTCATACTTATGACTGATATGAAAGTCAACACTTAGAGTTAGGTAAACACAAACTAAATACATTACTGAATAAAAAGATTGTGACTAGAAGTTGAATCCATGACGTTCGTTTCGTTTTATTTGAGATTTGTCAACTGGATGTACCTGCATTCCAGTTCTGATTTTCACATAAGGACACTAATTTATTACCTTTAATATTTGAATAACTAAGGCGTTATTCATTGAGCTATTGAGTTCAGTAAGTCATTAACTATTTGACTGTTTATATTATTATTATTATTATTATCATTATTATTAGGAACGGATAATTTAAAACCTTCCTAATAATTGTGTAAATATATCATTGTCAGAATTAAACATATATCTGAAACCACCATCATGGACTAACTTAAGCTAAACAATCAGCAAGAGCTAGACAACAGTTTCGTAACGATATGAGAATTCTCAGAAGCTAGATAGGTAAGTCAATCAAGTTCTGAGTCTGATGATTAATCATCGATAATATTTTTTTAGGATAATCTCAAATCATTCACTGGCTGAAGTTCAAGAAGTGGGTCATTAGATTTCACCTAAATAACCTTAAGTTATTGCCTTTTTCATTGTCTTTCACTGAATCTCGCTATTCATGAGGGTAGTAAACTTATCTTCTCGATGGTTTTCAATACTGGAGGCGCTAAGATATTCATGACTTTTCTCCCAATTCTAACTAAATTGTATTCAAAGGTGAATGGTGGCTAGCAGTTGAATCCAGGATGCGCATTTCATCCCATTTAGGACAAGTCAGCCGGATCTCCCTGCACCCCAGAGATTATTTCCACTCTAATAATGAACAAAAACAGGAGTGGGTACAATCGAATGTACTAGACATGAAATTATAGAGCATGTCAATAAAATCTGAGAACCATATAGTGAATAGTTAATTTGCATTATATTAATCCATCATCTCAATCTTCACTGTTCGCTTTGCAAATATCAGTCCATTGTATCAGATTTCATTGTTCATGCATTTTCATACCAATTGCGTTCCATTCTCGTTCTTTCCTTCTCGATCTTCAACAGAAATACATTCTATGTCTGACCACCGTTATATACTACTTATGTGGGTATAAGTAACTCACATCACAATAATATCAACAATTAATTGTAACTAAAATAAATTACTTAACATTTCAAGTATATTGCACACAGACTCCACCTTATGGAGTTTCTCCTATACTATATATTAGATCAAATTAAACTTTACTAAATCTTAGTAAATTCAAATTTGTCTATCAAATTTTTTTCACATGTAAAGCATAATGATAGAAAACATTGAAACTTAACTAATAAGTTAATCCTGTCAAAGAATTTCTTCTTGGCGCCTATCAAAATGTTCCGCTTTATTTAAACACTGATTAATTTTAATGTAATAATAGTTTAGACAGTAGTATAAATGTAATTCTACAGAATAATTTTTATTTTCGAATTATTCGTCTAAGTATTCTGTTGAAAATACCAAGATAAATTAACTGTAGACAAACTGATTGTTTTGATTACTAATAGACATATATTGTATGGATTGTGACAAGGCTGAAACTATATTTAATATTACATCACAACACTACAACTTCTTACATTAAATTCAATTTGAAATGGTGCGAATTATCTCGTTGTTGATTTGTTTTGTTTTGTTTTTTACTAAAATTTGATCATTCTTGGTTATTATATGGGCGTTCTATTCTGATTCCTTCGAGATTAACCATTATAACACAGGTTGATATAGAATAGATGGAATTCGATTAGCAGTGGTACCGAGTTCGAGTTCCGGAGTGATCATCAACTCTGAGATTCAAGTACCTCTAGTTGATGAGTTCTAAATAGGACGAAACGCATGTACTGGTTTTGACTGCTAGCCAAGTTTAATTTATTCCATATCAATTTCTTGTGCTAAGGCTGTTCTTCCAGATTTCTGAGCTTACTCTTTTCAGAAGGAACAATACATGATGCCAAATGGTTTGAGAATAATACAAAATTATATAAATTCCATATAAAAAGAGGCTACTCATTTTTATAGTATGGAAACATGAGTAAATGATGAATATCAAGTCGTTGTCTCTAGTAGATGACTATAGAGTTAGAGAAAAATTATCAACAAATTTAGAAAGTATTTTGTAGTAAAATGTATTAATATATAATTACCATTTAAACAATTAAAACAAGAATTTCAAGAAGGAATCTCTGTTCAACGAAATTATTATCCAGCTGTACAATCATATATATATATATATATATATATATATATATATATATATATAAGATTCCTCTTCTTTCTTAGTGGAACCCAGATATAGAAGTTGATTACCTAGCTGTTACATGTTTGTTTTCAGTAAATAGACCTTTTCAAAGATTCATCACTCCTCCTTATCAGACACACATCGGGAAAAGAGATTGAATGACCTAGTTCATGTTTCAAAGTGTGATCTATATATTCTGTGATAATGCTAAGGGTTTGCTGTATAACTCATTAACATTCCTAATATATAAAAAGATGTTAGATTTATATCCTTATTAAATTACTATAATATCCATAAACCCCCTCTTTCTGATAATGATCATCACATGTTCACTAGTGACTGGCTTCAAGTGGTATTTCCCGGAGTTCTAATGAGAAACAGTGACAAGTGAAGTTCAACCAGATCTGTTGTGAGATAGTAACTAACTGAAGACAATGGTGGACAGTGGCACAATTTCGTGGATTAATTGAAGTTGGGTACCGGCTCAGCGATCTAAAAGTTAAGCTTTCTCGCAGGTTCGAGTCCCGTGTGCGAGATTGTAGATGCACACTACTGAGGAATTCCATACTGGAACGAAACGGCCGTCCAGTGCTTTCAGGTTTTTCATGGTAGTCTAGCTTTAATTGACTCATGAATTCAACTATTAAATATTTTTCACCTTAGTTTACCTTTTTTTTACACAGAATCTGTTTTGTTTCCATTCATTCCAGCTTCTAGAGAAACTGAAGGTAATAAAGTTTGAAAATGGTAAAAGCCATAAATTCCAAAATTTGCAATTTACCATATTCTTGCAAAATATTTCGTTTTCAAAAAATCGATAAGGTTTTTTAATTTACAGCAATATTTTCATAGATTTACTAATATTACACATGTACATATTAGTTTCTGAATACCAGTTATTATTCTCTATTATTTACATTCATATTAATTAGGTAGGTTAAACATGTTTTGGTTCGTCTTTTTATATCCAAAACTATTTCACTATTGCGTAATTATCTAATTGTACCTACAACTGTAGGTACAATTACGGGTCTAACTTGTTGATGAATGCCAAATGCCACAAATCTAGGTCCAGCATTTCCAGTCGACTATCTTCAGTCACCTGACAAATTGGTTGCTGCAAGAGTAGAATAAAAATCCTCTTTAACTTTTATGTCCCACTTATATTTATTTATAGAAATGTCTTATTTCAATCACTGAAA